GTGGTCGTGTTTCTCTTGCTGGTCGAGATAAACGCAACAAGTGGTGGCCCATACGGGGAACCTCTCTCTGTGGGTGAATGGCTCAGAACTTCCTGCAGTCAGGGCAGTCAACTGGAAAGTCCCAGGTAAGTTGGGACCAAGTTAAGGACCTCAGTAAAGAGGCAATAAGGTCTCCAGTAAGGAGCGATAAAGTTCCAGGAATGGACAAAGTAGAAGTAACCAAAAGTGAAAGTATGGGGAATTTGGATGAGCAGTCTTCCCTTAATGCTCAGTTAAAAGGCGGTATTATGGTTTTGAACCAATGCATTGACCTAGTTCAGGAACAGGTTGATGCCCTGTGGCAGTTGGCACAACTAGGATGTGAGTGGAAGATGACCAGATTGTGCGTGACCTCTGTAATTATTCGTTAGCAGCCAATATGACTAAAGAGCTTTCTCAGTATCTTTTAGGTCATTGGTCTGGCAACTTCGACAAATTGATGCAGAACCTGAGGCTCTCTATTGTGAATGTGAATTCCACCAGAGTCAATGTCTCTGTTGCTGAAGGACTGTCTGCATGGATCACTTAAGCCATGAATCATCTGAAAGAGTGGGCGGGAATGGATGCCCTGGGAGGAATGCTATCCTAGTTAATTTCATAGCCTTATGGTGTATCTGCAGGATGAGGGTCACACAGCAGAGAAGTAATGCCATGATTGCACAAGCTTCGCTGCCCTGGAGGCAGGGCAGTCACCTCAGCCTTGGCTAACAGTACTAACAGTACTAAAGATCTAAGCACTCATCCCGCTCCAGCTGCAAGACAAAGTACTGCACTTGAAGTCAGCATTTAGAGGCTTCATGAAGGGCATGTCTGATTGCATATGGGTTGGTATCGTACTCCCATCTCTGAGAAAAGATACCAGACAGGTGTGGCACCAGCTCAGCTGATAACTGTGTTATTTTTAAATAAAAAAGGGGGAACCTTGTCACGTCTATCTCGACCAGCAAGAGAAACACGACCACGACTCTTTTTCAAGCAGTTCATTCAGGAACCTTGTATATCAGCTTCTCCTTTTTCCAGCCCCCCTACCCCCCAGCAAGCCCTTAAAAGCAAGCTCATTACCCAATTAGCTCACGCCACCTGGAGATCCCGGATAGGTCACAGAAGGAGGAGGCACACCAGATCCACTAAGTGCTTCCAAATAAGGCTTGTTTATAGCTAAGCTCGATCTCCATGGCATCCAGCCAGGCGCCATCTTGGGTCTGTGGCTCCCCACAATCCAGTAATACTGCT